CGTGGCGTTGAGTTGCTCACTGTTTGAGTTTATATATTTCACTCTGTCATCTCAGCTTGGAGCTTGACTTTCACACAATGTAATTCACTCACGATGATATCTTTTACTTTGTTGTGAGAAAGCGGGCCTGGATTCGTATTGATGTCATTCGAACATAATAGTAGCTGTTAGATTATGTCAACAGTAAGCGTATCATCACCACTGAACCACATTTCATGTGCTAATGAGCCTTGCCATGAAGACAATTCTAAATCACACTCTGACTCTGTGACGTGACATGAAACACACAAGTGAACTTTTTCATTGGTATTTTGTATGCCAACGATGCAAATTCCAGATAATACATCTGAAATGCACATCAGTTCCAGCCACTGTGGATGAGTACTCACTCTCTTTGTTCAGTGTGACTTGTCGGATGCTCCTTGACTGTGACAATAGTCCAATTGGTGCTCTATACACACAGTTATTTTCTCACAATAGCAAGATATAGCATATATATCCTACTTTTATATGCATCTTAGTTTTGCAACCAGGCGCAGGTTCTTGGCAGGAACTAAGAAATGTTAGAATGTTAGTCTCTGCTCCAATACAAACGTTCTCAACACTTTAGGGGCAGGTAACTCTCCTTACAGTATATTACATGTCAACTGGTTTTTCACTAGTTTCACAGTATGCTCTATATGTCAAAGTTGTGGAGTTTTAATACTTTGTCATGATTGTTATTGTTGTGGAATTTGTTCAGGACAGTTTTATGCCTTTTCCATATTTTATCCTGTTTGTAGGGAGGGTATTTGGAATGTGTTATAATGAATGAGCCTGGGTACAATGTGTGAGGCCCTCATCTGGTCTTTTCTGCCATGTTGTTAGTGGAACATCACAAAAGCAACATAAAATCTCACTCACTCACTGATGGTAGTGTTGCTGAGAATCTATTATCTATAGTATTCCCAGAAATTGAGAGTTCTTTCGGCAAATATCAAATACATGTACATAAACTATAGACGTTTCACTTAATTGAATATGTTGAGATACGATTCTCTTACAGTTTAAGTGTATTTCAGTACTATGTGAAAAGTCCTTTTTTGGTTTCGTCTGTCCTTCATTGGTCCCCACACATTCTCAATAGGGTTAAGATCTGGGCCAGTCTAAAACTTGAAAATTTTGTCTGACAACTTCTGTTTTATGTAGCCCTCAGTGTTTTGGGTCATTATCATGCTGGAAAATCCAATTATCTTCATACAGTGTTCGGGTGGTTGGAAGGAAGTGATCATTTAAGATGTCAACATATCGTTCCCTCGTCAAATGTCCATTGAAAATACACAACCATATCATTCTACTTGATGATATCCCACCCCGCAAGTGAAATTTTGGGCTATGTTTTGGGTGTTGGTAGATAGGTTTCACTGTATCTTTCACCCAGTTCGGAAAAAGCCAGACAGAACTGTCATCAGAATAGTAAACCTTATGCCATCTTGATTTTCGTGAGCCATACACCAGTTTAAACGTCTTGCTTTTTGTGCATCTAGCATTAATTGTGAGGGAATTCCACACTTTTTCACCTAGTTAAGTCTTTGTAATTCTTGTCTGAGAGTTTCATTACATACCTATTAATCATCTCATTTCTGATATTGCCAACGCTTCTCAATTTTCCCCTACTCACAATCTGCTGGCGATCCTTAGTACTGAACTTCCTTGGCCTCCCTGCCCCTGTCTTGTGCTCCATCTCAACTCCTGACTAAATATTCTTTAAAGTTCTAAGCGTTCGCTCGTCACGCCGAAGACCCTGGTTCGATTCCCCATATGGGTACAATGTGTGAAGCCCATTTCTCGTGTCCCCTGCCATGATGTTGCTGAAATATTGCTAAAAGCGACGTAAAACCAAACTCTGTATACTGAAGACAGAGGAATGTCATGTCTACCAAATAACTCTTTTGCATTGGTCACACCCCTTTCGAAATCACCTGGAACCAGCTTTCTTTTCTCTTCTGCTGTCAGATCTGCCATGTCAACAAAGGAAGCCGTCTGCTACACCAGGGGAGATAACTCCTGAGGTAGTAAGGTTCATTCTTGAACCCACAAGAGTTGCTTCCCATATTGCGTACCTTACTACATAATGTAACACCTATTTTACAATTCTATTATCAGTATTAAGACAAAAATATTTTCTCAATACTTTCTAGGAATGCAGTATATCCTGCTTTTAGCAGTTAATATTTGTGACTCACTCTATGTCGATATGCCCATATTGCTTATTGCATTTCTTTAATGACACCATGAACACCGATGATGACAACTTGGTAGCCGTACAGAGTACCAGTGCTGATACCAACATGGATGTAGCTGATGGTGTCACAAAATATTTTGTCATATATGTTTTGAATAGTTATGACAATATACCTTGTATGTTATGCTGTTTTTTAGTGGTACAAGTGGACTGTTTGTTGATTCTCTCCTCCCTACCTTTTTTATTCTCTCTCTCTCCCTCTCTCTCTCTCTCTCTCTCTCTCTCTCTCTCTCTCTCTCTCTCCCTCTCTCTCTCACACACTCACTCACTCACTCGCTCACTGATGGTAGTGTTGCTGAGAATGTATATCATGGTTGTAGCAGTGAGCATTTGTAACTGACCCTGTGTTGATATGCCCATGTAGGTTTCTTTGGGTTGTGTCGAAATTCTGAAGAAAATATTTTTTGCTATTTCCGTAGCAACAAGTTTGTCATTGACTGAAATTGGTGGAAGTACTCTTTTCCGTAGCAGAACTTTAAAACCTTGTAATACTCTCCTTCTACTTTGTGGATATTCAAGAACCTAATGACATAAATCAAGAGTACCACTGAAGTATCCAGTATCAACATTACTGAGGTACATCAAACTGTGGAAGCACTCAGGCAGTCTGTTGTTGAAACAAGCATGTTAGTATATGATTAGTTTACATATTACCGGTATGTTTTTTTTAGATCAATGTGAGAAACAATGTAACATTTGACATAGTCATAACTAGTTGACAAATTCATGAAGAGTATTTTATCATTGCGGGGGATATTGATGACTTTGGCTTCTTGTTACATTCCTTCAAAGACACATTGAACACCGATGATGACAACTTGGTAGCCGTACAGAGTACCAGTGCTGATACCAACATGGATGTAGCTGATGGTGTTAAATATATATTTTGTCAGGTTTTAAATGGTTATGGCAATATACTTTGTACGTTATGCTGTTTTTTAGTGGTATAAGTGGACTCTCTCTCTCTCTCTCTCTCTCTCTCTCTCTCTCTCTCTCTCTCTCTCTCTCTCTCTCTCTCTCTCTCTCAAAATGTTTCAAAATATTTTGTCATGTTTGAATCACTCTCACTCACTCACTCACTCACTCACTCACTCACTCACTCACTGATGGTAGTGTTGCTGAGAATGTATATCATGTTTTTATCAGATAGCATTTGTAACTCTCCCCCTCTGTCGATCATGCCCATGTAGGTTATTGCATTCCTTCAATGACACATTGAACACCGATGATGACAACTTGGTAGCCGTACAGAGTACCAGTGCTGATACCAACATGGATGTAGCTGATGGTGTTACAAAATATTTTTTATCATGTTTGAATGGTTATGACAATATACTTTGTATGTTAAGCTGTTTTTTAGTGGTATAAGTGGACTGTTTCATCATTATCACTCACTGACTTTCTCTCTCTCTCCCCCCTTCTCTCTCTTTCTCTCTCTCACGCTCTCACTCACTCACTTTCTGATGGTAACAACTCTCCCCCTGTGTCAATATGCCCATGTATGTTATTGCATTCCTTCAATGACACATTGAACACCGATGATGACAACTTGGTAGCCGTACAGAGTACCAGTGCTGATACCAACATGGATGTAGCTGATGGTGTTATAGAAGAGTGTTTAGGGATGTCACAATACAGGTGCCTCACGATACATATCATCATACTGTTATGAGATAACAATGGAAACCAGTAGTTAATTGGTAGATGGACAAGTGGAAGCCAGGGATTGTTAGTCCAGGCCTGATTAAGGTAACAAAAGTGGCAATTTAACAAGGGGTAGGAAAAACAAATAGAAGCCAGGGGGGTATTCTTGCCTTCACAACTTAAACAGTTAATAATTCGCTGTACCTTGCCGATTACAGAATGCTGTGTGAATGAACTCTTGGGCAAACATTTGACCAATAAAGTAAAAGTGTAACTTGCTCATTCTCTTTAGATTTTAGCAAAGGGCACATAATTGCAACAACTGTCAATGTAGACAACTTACACATAACAAAACAAGTTGAAATAGCTTCTCACAATTTTATTATTGCTTTAATCTCACTACTTAAAATGTCACTGTTCAGGCTCCACAGTTGACAGTCAACTCATTGACACAAAGTTAGCCAGTAAAGTAAAGCCGTAACTGGCATTGGCTCATTCTCCCAAGAATGTAGCAGTTTCAGACTTTGCAAGTCTCAGTGCAGATGAACTACAAACATCAAATGTTTTCTCATATTTACAATATCCCTAGTCATAAGTTTGACGTTCAGAATTCAACTTGGCAAATGCACCCAAAGCTCTCTGTCATGATACAGACCTTACAGGCTTTCATTATGACTGGGGTCAAGTAGTTGTTTTTTCTTAACTTGAGCGTGGTGGGAGAGTGATGACGGGTCCAGTGTGTGTGTTCATGTTACTTGTACTTCCTGTATATACATGTATACGAAATATGGGCTTGGACACATACTGTTTTTCTATATGCCCTTCAAAGATTTGTTTTGTATTGCAAACGTTTTGAGCACCTGAGCCTCATTGTAAACTGGAAACATACTATGTTTCCCAACAGTAGACATAAAAACTCTGCTTCAGAAAAAATCCATGACGCTACTTTTGGTATCAAGGCACCAACGTATTTTTCAACGATGAATCGGTGAATCGTGACATTACTAGTGTTTATAGTGAATGAAGAGTGAGAATTCAGTTTGATTAATGTTGTCATGTTTGGTTGTTTCAGAATGAGGTGAACGCAATCAAATGGGACCCCCAAGGGCAGCTGCTGGCATCCTGTTCAGATGATATGACATTAAAAGTGAGAACTTGTTTTCGATGTTGGTAGCAGGCTGTGATTGCAGTCACTCAGATAGCTGTTACATCAGCAGTTCCACTCCACTGCTTGTGGTGGGAGTCAATACTTATCCAGCACTGACTGTGTGTAGTTGGTGTCGACTGAACCCAGTACCCACTGCTTGTGGTTGGAGTCAATACTTATCCAGCACTGACTGTGTGTTGTGGGTGTCGACTGAACCAGTACCCACTGCTTGTGGTTGGAGTCAATACTTATCCAGCACTGACTGTGTGTTGTGGGTGTCGACTGAACCCAGTACCCACTGCTTGTGGTTGGAGTCAATACTTATCCAATACTTATCCAGCACTGACTGTGTGTTGTCGGTGTCGACTGAACCAGTACCCACTGCTTGTGGTGGGAGTCAATACTTATCCAGCACTGACTGTGTATTGTGGGTGTCGACTGAACCAGTACCCACTGCTTGTGGTGGGAGTCAATACTTATCCAGCACTGACTGTGTGTTGTGGGTGTCGACTGAACCAGTACCCACTGCTTGTGGTTGGAGTCAATACTTATCCAGCACTGACTGTGTGTAGTTGGTGTCGACTGAACAAGTACCCACTGCTTGTGGTGGGAGTCAATACTTATCCAGCACTGACTGTGTGTAGTTGGTGTCGACTGAACCAGTACCCACTGCTTGTGGTGGGAGTCAATACTTATCCAGCACTGACTGTGTATTGTGGGTGTCGACTGAACCAGTACCCACTGCTTGTGGTGGGAGTCAATACTTATCCAGCACTGACTGTGTGTTGTGGGTGTCGACTGAACCAGTACCCACTGCTGTGTGTGTGTACCCACTGTGGGTGTCGACTGAACCAGTACCCACTGCTTGTGGTGGGAGTCAATACTTATCCAGCACTGACTGTGTGTAGTTGGTGTCGACTGAACCAGTACCCACTGCTTGTGGTGGGAGTCAACACTTATCCAGCACTGACTGTGTGTAGTTGGTGTCGACTGAACCAGTACCACTGCTTGTGGTGGGAGTCAATACTTATCCAGCACTGACTGTGTGTAGTTGGTGTCGACTGAACCAGTACCCACTGCTTGTGGTGGGAGTCAATACTTATCCAGCACTGACTGTGTGTAGTTGGTGTCGACTGAACCAGTACCCACTGCTTGTGATGGGTGTCGACTGAACCAGTACCCACTGCTTGTGGTTGGAGTCAATACTTATCCAGCACTGACTGTGTGTAGTGGGTGTCGACTGAACCAGTACTCACTGATTGTGGTGGGAGTCAATACTTATCCAGCACTGACTGTGTGTAGTGGGTGTCGACTGAACCAGTACCCACTGCTTGTGGTGGGAGTCAATACTTATCCAGCACTGACTGTGTGTAGTTGGTGTCGACTGAACCAGTACCCACTGCTTGTGGTGGGAGTCAATACTTATCCAGCACTGACTGTGTGTTGTGTTTGTCGACTGAACCAGTACCCACTGCTTGTGGTGGGAGTCAATACTTATCCAGCACTGACTGTGTATTGTGGGTGTCGACTGAACCAGTACCCACTGCTTGTGGTGGGAGTCAATACTTATCCAGCACTGACTGTGTGTTTGTGTTTGTCGACTGAACCAGTACCCACTGCTTTGGTGGTGGAGTCAATACTTATCCAGCACTGACTGTGTATTGTGTATTGTGGTGTCGACTGAACCAGTACCCACTGCTTGTGGTGGGAGTCAATACTTATCCAGCACTGACTGTGTGTTGTGGTTGTCGACTGAACCAGTACCCACTGCTTTTGGTGGGAGTCAATACTTATCCAGCACTGACTGTGTATTGCGGGTGTCGACTGAACCAGTACCCACTGCTTGTGGTAGGAGTCAATCCTTATCCAGCACTGACTGTGTATTGTGGGTGTCGACTGAACCAGTACCCACTGCTTGTGGTGAGAGTCAATACTTATCCAGCACTGACTGTGTGTAGTTGGTGTCGACTGAACCAGTACCCACTGCTTGTGGTGGGAGTCAATACTTATCCAGCACTGACTGTGTGTAGTTGGTGTCGACTGAACCAGTACCCACTGCTTGTGGTTGGAGTCAATACTTATCCAGCACTGACTGTGTAGTTGTGTGGTGTCGACTGAACTAGTACCCACTGCTTGTGGTGGGAGTCAATACTTATCCAGCACTGACTGTGTATTGTGGGTGTCGACTGAACCAGTACCCACTGCTTGTGGTGGGAGTCAATACTTATCCAGCACTGACTGTGTGTAGTTGGTGTCGACTGAACCAGTACGCACTGCTTGTGGTGGAGTAAATACTTATCCAGCACTGACTGTGTGTTGTGGGTGTCGACTGAACCAGTACCCACTGCTTGTGGTGGGAGTCAATACTTATCCAGCACTGACTGTGTGTAGTTGGTGTCGACTGAACCAGTACCCACTGCTTGTGGTGGGAGTCAATACTTATCCAGCACTGACTGTGTGTTGTGGTTGTCGACTGAACCAGTACCCACTGCTTGTGGTGGGAGTCAATACTTATCCAGCACTGACTGTGTGTTGCGGGTGTCGACTGAACCAGTACCCACTGCTTGTGGTGGGAGTCAATACTTATCCAGCACTGACTGTGTGTTGTGGTTGTCGACTGAACCAGTACCCACTGCTTGTGGTGGGTGTCGACTGAACCAGTACTCACTGCTTGTGGTGGGAGTCAATACTTATCCAGCACTGACTGTGTATTGTGGGTGTTGACTGAACCAGTACCCACTGCTTGTGGTGGGAGTCAAAACTTATCCAGCACTGACTGTGTGTTGTGGTTGTCGACTGAACCAGTACCCACTGCTTGTGGTGGGAGTCAATACTTATCCAGCACTGACTGTGTATTGCGGGTGTCGACTGAACCAGTACTCACTGCTTGTGGTGGGAGTCAATACTTATCCAGCACTGACTTTGTGTAGTGTGTGTCGACTGAACCAGTACCCACTGCTTGTACTGAGAGTTAACTTAACTAGAATCCTCTGCTTGTGGTGAGAGTCGACTGAATCAGTTCCCTTCTCTTGTAGTTGGAGATCCCGTGAAGGTCTGGATTAGAATGTGCCTTCAGTACCCCATGCTTGTCGTAAGAAGAGGCGACTAACAGGATCAGGTGGTCAGGCTCGCTGACTTGGTTGACATATGTCATCGGTTTTCCAATTGCGCAGATCGATGCTCATGCTGTTGATCACTGGATTGTGTGGTCCAGACTCGATTATTTACAGACCGCCGCCATATAGCTGGAATATTGCTGAGTGCGACGTAAAACTAAACTCACTCACTTGTAGTTGGAGACAAAACTGAACCCATTGCTTGTAGTGGCAGTCCACTGAACATGGCTCATTGTTTGTAATGGGAGTCACCTGAACCAGTACTCTCTGCTTGTCTGAGTTACCAAATATAATTGTGTTGTTGCAGATCTGGAGTATGAAGCAGGACTCGTGTGTGTATGACTTACAAGCTCATAACAAGGAGATCTACACTATCAAGTGGAGTCCTACAGGACCAGGCACCAACAACCCAAGTGCTCCATTAATCTTAGCTAGGTGAGTGATCCAATAGCCCTCATGCCCCATTTATCTTAGCCAGAGCTCTGTTGATCTTTGCGAAAAGGGCCATCAGCTGTAGGGCTCTGTTGATCTTTGCGAAAAGAGCTAACCATCAGCTGTAGGGCTCTGTTGATCTGTGCAAGATGTGCAACCATTAACTGTAGGGCTCTGTTGATCTTTGCGAAAAGAGCTAACCATCAGCTGTAGGGCTCTGTTGATCTTTGCAAGAAGTGCAGCCTCAGCGGTAGGGCTCTGTTGATCTTTGCAAGATGTGCAGCCTCAGCGGTAGGGCTCTGTTGATCTTTGCAAGATGTGCAGCCTCAGCGGTAGGGCTCTGTTGATCTTTGCAAGATGTGCAGCCTCAGCGGTAGGGCTCTGTTGATCTTTGCAAGATGTGCAGCCATCAGCGGTAGAGCTCTGTTGATCTGTGCAAGATGTGCAGCCATTAGCTGTAGGGTTCTGTTGATCTTTGCGAAAAGGGCAAACCAGTGTTCACATCAGTACTACTTGTGTAGTTTCCATGTCCCTTACACTGTCTCCTGGACTTCCACGCTGTTTGTTTCAGTGCATCGTTTGACTCGACGGTCCGGTTGTGGGAGGTGGATCGAGGCACCTGCCTCCACACCCTCACTCAGCATCAGGAGCCTGTCTACAGTGTGGCCTTCAGTCCAGACGGCAGGTACTTGGCCAGCGGGTCCTTTGACAAGTGTGTTCACATATGGAATGTGCAGGTAGGTTCTCCTTTCCCCGACAGGCTGATCACAAGCGGCAGCTAACTGGATCAGGTGGTCAGGCTTAGTTACATGTAATCATGTCCTAGTTGCTTAGATCAATTGTGATGATATCCATTATTTGTTCGTCTGTTCAGCCAGTATAATTTCATACTTCCTTCATATGGCTGTTTCTCTTTACCCAGGTTCTTTACAAGTCTCTCTATATTGCTATTGAGAATTATTGTGATAGAAGACAAACTTGTGTAACATTTTGTTACTTTAATCCAACTGTACAATGTTGAAGGACTTGAAATGACATCAGTGATGGCAACTTGTTATTTCGGGGGTTGCAGGGCCTTGAAAAAGATTTAAAGTTGAACATTTACACAGAAAAATTCTAAAATTTGTCTTGATAAGGCCCTCATTGCCAGTTATTTGCCCTGAAAAGGCCCTAATGTAAGCAAAACGTCGGAAGTAAACTGATACAGGTAAAATGCCTTGCAATGATAATGTGTGTTAATTAATCTCTAATGTAAAGCAAGACTTTCAGATCACCGCCATGTGATCCCTTTGATGGTCGGTCCCACATTTGACCACCAAATGTCAACTGCTTTGGAGTGCCAAATGTGTATGGCCTTAAAAAACTTCTTGGACCTTGAATAGTCCCTAAAAAGGCATTATATTTGATGGCTGATAATTTGTATAAATGCCGTGGTCATACAGAGTACCAGTGCTGATACCAACACAGCTAATGGGAGTTGGAATGGGAACATGTATTTAGCATGAACTAGAATTTCAGCTCTGATTGCAAACTTTTTTTTTGCAGAATGGAACACTAGTTAATAGTTATAGAGGAACAGGGGGAATATTCGAGGTTTGCTGGAATCATCGAGGGGACAAAGTTGGTGCCAGTGCATCGGATGGCTCAGTGAGTAGCTGTTCTTTTACTGTTGTGGCCATTATTGGTGGAAATGTATTCAGTTTGTGGAAAATGTGGTGTCTTCAGTATGAGCAGTGTGCCAATTAACACATGTAACTGTACTTCTACCATATACTTTCAATCATGAAATTAATGTGAAAAATGAAAGTGTCTGTTTCTGATTAAAGTGATACATCCATCCGCATGTTGACATGCTGGAGATTCATGTTAGCAACATACACAACAAAGCAGCCGGTGGACTGTGTTATTTAACACTATGATGTGCAGTAGTGATGGGATGACACTGGTTGAACATGATTTCTACTAGCAGATATATGTATTTATCAAAATCACACACTTTATAAAGAAAATGAAATCTCGCCTTAAATTTTGTGCCGAACACAAAGAGAAGGGTAAACATAAATATGATCTTTCATAGTGCTGTAACTGACATTGTCACACTGTCGACTAAATAGCAAAACTCAAAGTATTTCTTCAGCTTCACTTATTGGCATCTGTAAAGTAAATATGGCTGGACTGAGGGTGCTGTCCTTTGTATGTTTCTCCTATTTATGATATCATGTGATGTTGTGTTATAATAGTAACGAGAAAACAGGTGCCCTAAAATAAGGCCTGACATGTTTCTGTTGTAGGTGTTTGTACTAGACTTGAGGAAGTAGACTGGAAGAGGGAACCATGTGATTAACTACCATCTTAACAGTGCCATTATGGCAGCAGTGGAAAAGAGGAGGAAGTTGCCACAGTGGACCAACAACTCACTGACGGCTTTCTGGGGAGCCTGCTGGGCACTGCCATGGAGTTGAGATGAGATTGACACCAGAAGCTTCACAGGCATGTGTGATGTTCATGGGACAGGGATGTAGAACGTGATGATCACATGTTTGTTCCACTGGGTTGACATCAGGAGCTTCACAGGCATGTGTGATGTTCATAGGAGGGGGTTGTAGAACGTGATGATCACATGTTTGTTCCACTGGGTTGACACCAGGAGCTTCACAGGAATGTGTGATGCCCATGGGACAGGGATGTAGAACGTGATGATCACATGTTTGTTCCACTGGGTTGACACCAGGAGCTTCACAGGAATGTGTGATGTTCATGGGACAGGGATGTAGAACGTGATGATCAAAATGTTTGTTCCACTGGGTTGACATCAGGAGCTTCACAGGCATGTGTGATGCCCATGGGACAGGGATGTAGAACGTGATGATCACATGTTTGTTCCACTGGGTTGACATCAGGAGCTTCACAGGCATGTGTGATGCCCATGGGACAGGAATGTAGAACATGATGATCACATGTTTGTTCCACTGGGTTGACATCAGGAGCTTCACAGGCATGTGTGATGTTCATGGGACAGGGATGTAGAATGTGATGATCACATGTTTATTCCACTGGGTTGACATCAGGAGCTTCACAGGCATGTGTGATGTTCATGGGACAGGGATGTAGAACGTGATGATCACATGTTTGTTTCACTGGGTTGACATCTGCTTTACCCAGACAATGTTGTGTGTGCAAGATGGGATGCTGGAACAACATAATTGACCTTGAAATTGGTGAATGTGAAGGTGGAGCCAGTGTCTTCTCCAGTGCAAGGACACCTCCAGGAATGCCTGTAGTGGCACCCCAAAACAGACTGTCCAAAGGACTGTTGATGCCCTTCCCATAGAACAGCATCCATCACCACCACAGAATCCTTCGAAGTGCTGTTGACACTGTTAGTTGAGTCCCAGGATATAGCAGTCCGACCACCCTGACGACGTACGTCAGCAGAGGTTAGCTAGCTCCAGTACTGGGCTTCCTTTCTTTCCATTCAGTTTTCACAATGGAGCCCCAGTCAGTGTTATATTGACAAGTGCTTAAAGCCTGGCTATGTGTACAAGGAGCGTATGTGAGTGTGTTTGCGTGTGTGAGAGGATGGCATGAGATAGGTCCACTGCCTGAAAGTGGCTTCTTTCATGAGATGCCTATCTCTGAATGTCCTCACTTGCTTCATGAGCAGCTTTCATCATCTTCATCTTCATCTTCCTTAGATATCTTCATTTATTCAAGCATCAGAGAATCTAACAATGTTCTGATTATCATTTACTTTCCTGTTCTATTGCATTCAGAGTTGGCGATCCTCCACACGTTCCCACTGAAAGTGCTAGAAAGTGCTACAGTGCAGAGTTGTCAAACACATGTGCTGTTATTATTACCGAACTGTCTGCCACACTTGATTCTTGAATATATTCTTGAAAGATTTCTTTACTTGATGTAAAAATTAGGTTCCTGGGAACAGATGAGATTGTTCGTGATTGGGTGAGAGGCTTGAGTCAGTTTTCTAAGTTTATGTGACTGACCACTATCTATCACTGTGTACCTTGTTACCTTCCATTCTTGAAGGGATAGAGGTGCTTCTGTCAGCTTAAATTATTGGTTTGAATACAAGAGCCTTCCTTATTTTGATTCTTAATTTATCTTGCACCATACCAGTGCCCTGAGTTGAACAAGTGGTGACCTCACCTTCGTCAGCCAACAGTGATATGACTGAAATACTGGTGCAAGCAAACCCCGCTCACTGACTCATTCACTCACTCACTCATTCCATGGAGGCATCTTCTGCATTTACTGTAGACAATGATACCAGTCCTGCCCATTAAAGAATATATTGTAGGTTATGTCAAGTTACTCTGAAGTTCCAGATAAAACTGTGGACTTTCAAAAATCAGTTTCATAATTTGGAGGTTAAGAAGATTTTGTATTGGAATATATATTTTTCAATTACAGTTATGAATCCCATAGTTCTCATTACAGGTTTGTTTCCTAGCAAGTAGGAATTGTTAAAAACATTATTTCTTGTATCATGTTATTTTCAGCAAATCATAAGTGATTTATCAATTGTAAATATTACAACAAATTGTAAATTCTAATTTAATGTTTATTTTCATTGGAAACAAACACAAATTGATGAACTTATATCATCTGATTTTAAATAGTTTTAAAACTTCAAGTTAACTTTTAATTCTTATGTAACATGATTAGGTGAATATAAATATGTATATGCGAGAATCCTGTTTGAGAATAGTGACAGCCAGATTGCTTTGTAGTTCATGTTATTATCTTTACTAACATTTCCTGTTTTGGATTAGATGTGGTAACTATTGAATTGTAATTTCAAGCTTTTTGGTTCAGATGTCATGCCAAGATACCAAAGTACATTTGTTGCTAGGTGCTGATCGGCTGAAGTGACTGTGTAGCTGGTGATGGATCTGTTACCAGCTGTAGGGGCCTCCCACCAAATAATGAATAGTAAATGTGTTAATTTTACTTTGATATCCGTAGTTTGTGATGTTTGATGTTGCTGCCACCGCTGCCGCCTTTGTGGAACCACTTCTTCTGTTCATGTATTAGTTTACTCAATTACCATGGTAACCCATGCAGTGTTCTTATGTCAGCCTCTGAGAGGTGGCTCACATCACATCTGTTCATTTGTCATCCAGTATGGAGGGTAGGGGTGTCCATGGTGATACAGGTGCAAGTACATTGTTACCAATACCTGTATCTTCATATAACTTGTACTTAATTATTTTCCTTGAAGACCTCCACAAAATCTGCTTGTGATTATAATTTATGAATTGTTTCTCTAGAAATGTCATTTAAAATGAATCTGTTTGGTCCTTTGAACAAGTCATTCATCCTAAGAATATGTTTTATAAGAGAAATACAAAACTGAAATTTTTAAGCTGCCGGTGTCCCTCAAAATATTTCATCTTAAGTGTGAGGCTACTTGCAAGTGCCTAATGCTCAGTTTGGTGTATTACACTTGTTGTATAAAGTGACCAGGGTTAGGGTCGGCCCTTTCATATAACACAGTTCACCATGCATAGTTGCTGCCATTCAGTCTGCCGGGATCCTATCCTTTGGCTTGATAAATTTAGTTCAGCTAAAGTGGTAAATGCTGTTGTGTAGGTGAACTACTCTTTAAAGCATCCAAACTACTCCTTACTCTTTGAGTGAGCACTGCATTGCACTATGCCCCATAGAATGTGGAATGTTCATCCTTCAAATGGCAAACTTCAAAGGTGAGACACAGGAACTTAAATAATTCTTATCTGTCTCTAACCCTCCTGAGTTCACTAGATTTTGCATTTACATGTCCCCTGAGTCTATGGAGAATCGTGCTACATCTGACATCTTAGCCGGTGTCTCAATGCTGTCATTTTTCAAACATTTTCTATGACAACACATGGGCACAACAAGGACAGACTTTTCATATCCACATGAAGGCATCATCACATTCTCACATTTCTGTCCCTGTTCAACACATTCTGCAGCTGTCCATGCACACCAGTTGAACACATTCTGCAGTTGTCCATGCACACCAGTTGAACACATTCTGCAGCTGTCCATACACACTAGTTGAACATATTTTGCAGCTGTCCATGCACACTAGTTGAACATATTCTGCAGCTGTCCATGCACAGAAATTGGACATGTTCTGTGACAGTCCATGTAAAGTAGCTGTTCATGGACAGTAGTGGAACATGTTTAGCAGCTGTCCATATACATTGGGTGAACATGTCCTGGAACTGTCCAGTATTGTAGCCCTCTCTTGCTGTCATCAGTGCCTACTGCTCTGCTCAATTTTAATTTTAATTATTGTAAGTAAATGTTTGAGGGTATTCCACTGTAATTATCATAAGAAACAAGAAGTATGATGTCTGATTTAGTGTGAGAATGAAGATGTTCAAGATGACGTTCACATTTAGCAGTTTCCTTCCTCAGTTAACAAAGTTATGACAAGGAAAGTATTTATTTAAATGTACATGAAGAGAAGTGTTCTCAACATCATAACCGTGGTGCATTTCACTTAGTCATAGATGGGGAAACATGTTCTTTGATTAATGATACATATTGTTTGAGTTGTTTTCATGAAGGTTTATGTTAAAAACTTGTCACTGGGTTGCTGGTGTAAAACTGTGAATGAATGTTTGCCTTTCTGTTTAATCTGTTTTATATTAGTGATAAGCTAGTGTTTCCATCTTCAGGTATCATCTCATTCTCACATTAAGCATTAGGTTGTGATTGTGGTCTGATTGTGCAGGAGATCTGTAGGGTGTCACTGTGTATATACACACAGACTGTACACTGCATCCCACTGTTGGATGCATCTCAGATTTCAAGATGTGTCTTGTACTGTCAGATGCTTCTTACTGTATAATGTCATGTAATGAAGGATACCTCATTAACTGGAGAAGGTGTCTTGTACTGTCAGATGCTTTTCACTGTATGTCATGTAATGAAGGCTGCTTCTTGCACACGGGGATGTGTCCAGTATTGTCTGTTGCATCTCACTGCGGAATCACTCTTGCATTGTATAGTGGGTCTTATATCACATGGTGTGTACACAGAATAGGGTGTGTGGCATGGACACTCTGTTTCATAACAAAGGTGCATTGATAGGTATGGACACACAAGGATGCTGTGTAAATGGTGTGTCATGCTGACTATATGGTAAACTTGCTGTACAGTGCTGCTAGTATTGTACAGTGCATGGTCTGTCATCAATCACTGGACCGGAGTATCCACTCCGTATCATCATCATCATCACATAGGGATCTGACACATTGCTGCTGCTGCAGTGATGGCCGCTGAAGTGTCAGGTATTGGTGTACATATGTCTCACACTTTGTCCATCAGAGACTCATGTTTTGTATCATGTTGAGATGTTTAAAAAAATGGAAAAATTAAAAAGTTAAATAATTACTTGATCACGGATTTGTTTTGCTATAAGACAGTTATTGTGCTCGGAAAAACACCAAGACACACTACACTGATGTTGATGGGGTGCATTAAAGAACACCAGATTTGGGGATGATTGAATACTAACCTCAAAAATTCTTTAAAGTCGCTGTTGATATCGGAAATGTGTCATTGTCCTTATATTATGACTTGCTGCTTGCTAGGGATGTGGTGGGAATGGGTGACATGAGTTAATGCTCTTCTATTACAGTTCTTAAAATTAATCACATGAGCAGCAATTAATCACCTCTATGTGCACAGTTCCAGTCAATTACAATTCCGGTATTTTTTCCTACGGCATTTGACGACGAAACAGTGCAGCAAAAGAAAATTCTTCACGGCAAGTAACATAACAGAAAAATTGAAGTTATGAACCCTATAAAAAAAAATTAACTTAGTCGGGGGGTTGTCCCACGACCTATATAATAGCAAGTTCAAGTTCTCAAGTCATTAATTGTTTATTCCCTATCAATCTACTGTTAAAGAAACACTGAGTCACAATCAATTATTCGAGGTTACTGTATGATATTAATTTATATTCTTTCACAAATGGCATGAGAAATTCTGAATGGCGATAACTGTTAGTTAGTTGTGAGAAAAAATCTATATTTCCATGATTCACATTCCGTCGGGTTATATAAAAACATGATCGGCGGTAGTGAAGGTGAGGTGAAATTGGGTTTAACGTTGTACTTGAGAATATTTCGCTCATATGACGACGTGCATGCGTGTGTATGTGTATGTGTGGCTGGTTTTATAGTGTTTTATATACCTCACTGAGATACCATGCCGCAGTGAAGCATGAATACCCCACTCAGACACATTATACTGACTCCGAGCTGACCAGTCCTTGATGTACCCATTAATGCCGAGAGCCAGGCAGGGACCAACAATTACCATATTTTAACGTCCTTTGGCATGACGCGTTCGGGGATCAAATCCGCGACCTTCCGCTCTCCGGGCGGATGCTCTAACCACTACACCACGGAGGAATTCGCAGCAGTGAAGGGGCTGGAAACATTTGTGAATAGCTAATTAAGTATCATGATTAATTCTGTTTCATTAATTTAACAAACGGCGGAGTAATTTTGTGAAAACCGCTAAAGTATGGCGATAACTGTTCGTTTGCCAGTACAGTTTCCTGAGGATTGTTCTAAAAATATATGGCAAGACGCAGACTTTCAAAAAATAAACAGTGACATCTATTGGCATGTTCTACTGGCTGCTGACTTAAACAGTAACCACATGGTTCATAATCAACTTATGAGGAAGCATATAGCCACCGGTGAAGTAAAAGGACCTGGCAAGACGCAATCTCATGAAGCATGCAGAATTTTTTTGGCGACAATTGAAAGTGTGACTCACTCTCCACCAGTACCATCAAAATGAGAGTACGGGCTGCTTGTCTGACGGAACAGACGTCACCTCCTCACAGATTGGTGTAGGCCCCGAGAAAATGCAGCTTGAGGACATGGCGTAGGTTTCACGGAACAGAAGTCACTTCCTCACAGATAGGTGCAGGCCCCGAGAAACTGCAGCTTGAGGACATGGCGTAGGTTTCACGGAACAGACGTCACTTCCTCACAGATAGGTGCAGGCCCCGAGAAACTGCAGCTTAAGAACATGGCGTAGGTTTCACGGAACAGACGTCACTTCCTCACAGATAGGTGCAGGCCCCGAGAAACTGCAGCTTGAGGACAAGGCGTAGGTTTCACGGAACAGACGTCACTTCCTCACAGATAGGTGCAGGCCCCGAGAAACTGCAGCTTAAGAACATGGCGTAGGTTTCACGGAACAGACGTCACTTCCTCACAGATAGGTGCAGGCCACGAGAAACTGCAGCTTAAGAACATGGCGTAGGTTTCACGGAACAGACGTCACTTCCTCACAGATAGGTGCAGGCCCCGAGAAACTGCAGCTTGAGGACATGGCGTAGGTTTCACGGAACAGACGTCACTTCCTCACAGATAAGTGCAGGCCCCGAGAAACTGCAGCTTGAGGACATGGCGTAGGTTTCACGGAACAGACGTCACTTCCTCACAGTTAGGTGCAGGCCCCGAGAAACTGCAGCTTGAGGACATTGCGTAGGTTTCACGGAACAGACGTCACTTCCTCACAGATAGGTGCAGGCCCCGAGAAACTGCAGCTTGAGGACATGGCGCAGGTTTCACGGAACAGACGTCACTTCCTCACAGATAGGTGCAGGCCCCGAGAAACTGCAGCTTGAGGACATTGCGTAGGTTTCACGGAGGAGACGTCACTTCCTCACAGATAGGTGCAGGCCCCGAGAAACTGCAGCTTGAGGACATGGCGTAGGTTTCACGGAACAGACGTCACTTCCTCACAGATAAGTGCAGGCCCCGAGAAACTGCAGCTTGAGGACATGGCGTAGGTTTCACGGAACAGACGTCACTTCCTCACAGATAGGTGCAGGCCCCGAGAAACTGCAGCTTGAGGACATGGCGTAGGTTTCACGGAACAGACGTCACTTCCTCACAGATTGGTGTAGGCCCGGAGAAAGTGCAGCTTGAGGACATGGCGTAGGTTTCACAGGTCTGATGAAAGTTTTATTGTGTATGGGGACGTAACGAGGCGTGTCAGCAGAGGATCCAAGCAGCTGAAACATTTAGTGATGGTGTCGGGTTGTGTTTCGTATGACTGCAAGTAAGGTCTCATTACAGTACCTTGGACACTTTGGTCAATGGTCAACAGAAAGTACTGGGTTACGAATGCAGCGTTTTGAGAATAGTCAATGATGACAAAATGGACCTTACCATTCTTTGGCCGTCATCGCCATCAAATCATATCCATGGTCAGCAAGGAGATCCAATATGAACCTCATCGAACATCTGTTGGACTAGCGTGGACGCGAAGTTCAAGCAAGAGGTCCTCTTTATCAGACCCTGCAGGAATTGACGAAGCCACTCCATGATGAATGGCGGAGGCTTCCAATTATGTGAATTCGACGCTTGATTAATCATAATCAAAACATCAGATCAACTCTGTGAGTGTTTTGCAGAATTTATGTCCTAAAAATATAAATTGTTGTTAAACAGACTATCATTAAAATGTTGACACAGTTCACTATTTGGTACGAGGGAGGAGAGAAACAGCCAGGTGTACGCGAAGCACGTGCACTGGTGCCGACATAAGTTCTGCAAAAGACTCACAGAGTTGGTCTGTTGTTTTGATTATGATCAGCGTTTCATGAGTTCGATATGTTTAATAGTTTTCCAGTTAGATTGAAATTTATCGGTCCACTTTTGAGCCAAACGGAGTATAATATGCGGGATTTGGGCAGATCAGGGTAAGGGTAAGATAAGATGCATTTCATTTGTCAAACACATTATATATAAAGGTACAGGAAATGACATCATTATTGTTCTTTTAACAACATTGCACGGTTTGCAGACTGGTGATGCAACAATGTCTTTGCGAGCACTTCCAAAATAAGTGGTATCACCAACACAACTGTCGCATGACACATCGCAATATCATGTGTGTCCACCATGGCACATCGCAATACCATGTGTGTCCACCATGGCACATCGCAATACCATGTGTGTCCACCTTGGCACATCGCAATACCATGTGTGTCCACCTTGGGCACATCGCAATACCATGTGTGTCCACCATGGCACATCGCAATACCATGTGTGTCCACCATGGCACATCGCAATACCATGTGTGTCCACCATGGCACATCGCAATACCATGTGTGTCCACCTTGGCACATCGCAATACCATGTGTGTCCACCTTGGCACATCGCAATACCATGTGTGTCAACCTTGGCACATCGCAATACCTTGTGTGTGCACCTTGGCACATCGTAATACCATGTGTGTCCACCTTGGCACATCGCAATATCATGTGTGTCCACCTTGGCACATCGCAATACCATGTGTGTCCACTTTGGTCACATCGCAATACCATGTGTGTCCACCATGGCACATCGCAATACCATGTGTGTCCACCATGGCACATCGCAATACCATGTGTCTCCACCATGACACATCGCAATACCATGTGTGTCCACCATGGCACATCGCAATACCATGTGTGTCCACCATGACACATCGCAATACCATGTGTGTCCACCTTGGCACATCGCAATACCATGTGTGTCCACCTTGGGCACATTGCAATATCATGTGTCTCCACCATGGCACATCGCAATACCATGTGTGTCCACCATGGCACATCGCAATACCATGTGTGTCCACCATGACACATCGCAATACCATGTGTGTCCACCTTGGCACATCGCAATACCATGTGTGTCCACTTTGGTCGCTTTGGTCACATCGCAATACCATGTGTGTCCACCATGGCACATCGCAATACCATGTGTGTCCACCTTGGGCACATCGCAATACCATGTGTCTCCACCATGGCGCATCGCAATGCCATGTGTGTCCACCATGGCACATCGCAATACCATGTGTGTCCACCATGACACATCGCAATACCATGTGTGTCCACCTTGACACATCGCAATACCATGTGTGTCCACCGTGGCACATCGCAATATCATGTGTGTCCACCATGGCACATCGCAAAACCATGTGTGTCCACCTTGGGCACATCGCAATACAATGTGTGTCCACTTTGGGCACATCACAATATCATGTGTGTCCACTTTTGGCACATCGCAATACCATGTGTGTCCACCATGGCACATCGCAATATCATGTGTGTCCACCATGGCACATCACAATACCACGTGTGTCCACCTTGGGCACATCGCAATACCATGTGTGTCCACCTAGGCACATCGCAATACCATGTGTGTCCACCATGGCACATCGTAATACCATGTGTGTCCGCCATGGCACATCGCAATATCATGTGTGTCCACCATGGCACATCACAATACCATGTGTGTCCACCTTGGGCACATCACAATACCATGTGTGTCCACTTTGGGCACATCGCAATACCATGTGTGTCCACCTTGGCACAT